CACTGGTGAGAAATCCTCACCTCCCCATGGTTCCCCATATTTTCCAAAAAATTCCATGGATTCCTCAGCCTCGTTTTCTTCCCAATACCTTCTTCCTTCTCTTCCGGTGTGACCACCCACTCTGCCCCCGTCGACTTGACCCTCTCCCCTCAACCTGGGACCACCATTCAATGTGCGAACTCCTCCTTCCCCTTCTCCGTACCGTCCACCACGACCATCCCGAAGATCTTCGGAAGACCCTCCCGCTCGGACTTCGCCGCGCCGCCAATCGCGGAAGTTTCGCTCTCCGTCGGCCAACTCGCCCGCCCTAGGTCGGCCATTCCGGCCATCGCGACCAAAATCGGGGCGATTTCCGTTCGCAACTCGTGCCCTAGCTCGCACATTCTCTCCTCCAGCGTGGTTTTCCCTGCCATCCATTTCCCGTCGTTTCCCCTTTTCCTTTTCCCCAAAAACCCTAAATTCGGCCATTTCATCCAGGTGGCGGCCGTCCTCGTCCACGCGTTCCACGACTTCGCAAACTAGACCTGGGATTACTCCATTCTCATCTTCCCAGACTCTCGCGATTCCCGATCGAGATCCCTCCGTCGTCAGATTTGCCGTCGCCGCCGCCGACAACAGACGCATCTGTTCCTCCAACAATCGGCACAGGTCTGAAACGTTTTGGCTCATCACAGCCATATTCTGGTTAACTTCCACCCTACTTTGGCTTATTTCCGCCCTTACCTCGCCAATTTCCTTTTCCACCGAAGTTTTAACTTGGTGAATCTCCCTCTCCATCGCCTCAAACCTCTCCTCTGTTTTTCTGGCAGCCATTATCGCCCAGAACAGAGCTCTGATACCAAATTGATAAGCTTTGGTTTGTTCGATCAAGAACTAAGAGAACTAATTGCAAAATTCGTAAGAATGAAGAAAGAATCAACGAAGGATTTTATTGAAACAATCACTATACACTGAATGGCAGAACTTCGAGGGTCTGCTTCCTCCCTTGCTTGGAATTGTTCCAAGACTTGTCCACTTTCTGTTTATTTCCCGATAACTGCTTTTCCCTCCTCTTTCCCCTCTTATACAATTTCCTCTCTCTACCCAAACTTCCCCCGTAAGCTAACTAATACTAATATTTCTAACTAAACCACCAATACCGAACTACCACAGCCACTAAAGACAATTGTCCCTGCCTAGACTCTTTTATTCCTCCTAACATACACTTGCCTGAGTAAGGGCTTATCATCAATCTAAAAACGTGGTTTTCTTACACGACAGCATGAATCATAAAAACCATACACGGCATAAATAATGCAGTTTTGTAATAGTCAAACAACCTGTAAAATATTGTATGGATTCGGCGGTTTAGACGGTCAACCGACTATATTGATAAACCCAACCAAGCAAAGTTTTTCATGGTTTTCAATGAGATACTCAACCTAATAGATTAAAAGCGATAGTGAGGCTATTACACATCTCAAAAGGCTTTATCCCCAGATCACAGGTGTTCTACTCTAGTAGAAATCCAATGCTTAAACTACCAAACTGCCAAACACACACAATTCAAGCAAATACACATATCACATTCTCTTTTGTTCTTTTTACTTATTCAAATGCTTGACTCTAAAAAAAGAGAGCCAACAAATTTTAGTCAAAATGGATAGACAAAATCAGAATCCAGGTGAGGAAAACATATCGACAGCAGTTTTTGGACAAATTAAATAAAACTCAACATATCAATAAATAGAGAGAGAATCAAAACCCTACAATTAAAAGGAAATGAGAACAATCGTTATCCATGTTGAGGTAGAGTTGCTAGTACGCCTGTACCGTGAAGGAAGGTTTGAGAGAGAATTTCAAAGCTAAGCTCAAACTCAACTTCTCAAGAAAATTTACAACCTTCGGTTTAAGACTCTTTAGTATAGCATGAATGACAATAGAGGGAAAGCATATAAATACCTCTTTGCCAAGTCGCTCCTTGACAAAAGTGGCAACTTGAGCGTAGTCCAGATTCAAAGCAACCAAGCCGCTCTTGTTGGTTAGAGAAGTTAGTAGTTTGTTAGAAAGGATGTTATTAGTTAGTTACTGTGGACTTTAGTTGGGGAGGGAATTAGTTAGAGAAGGCAGAGGATATTAAAAGGGGGGTTCGGGAACTGAGAGAAGGAGGAAAATACTGGAGTCTTGTACAGGAAGTCTTGGCTAAGGCTAAGCATGGGAGATTTGGCAGTATCTCGAAAGACTGCTTTTGTAATTCATTTCCGTTAGTCAATAAAGATCATATTTCGTTCTTCGGATTCTTTCTGGTTGTAGTCAATATTCTGTTCTTATCACAAAGCTAGACACAAACACCAATCCAGAAATTTCTTCTCTAAAAAGAAAGAGGAAAAGAGAAACTCTTTTAACGGTTGACGAAATCCAAATTCTACATTCTAATTCTGAATATGATGAACTATACCTTCCTAATCCTAAATATATAAGATAAATTAAGTTCACAACGAAAAAATACACAAACAGAACCAGATTAATCAAATCCTGACAATTGAAGGGAGATCAGGTCGCCATGAAAGTCACTATTACAAAAATGCAATGCAAAAAAGCTAAAAGAGGCTTAACATTCGAGATCTATAAGCTAAACAGGAACAAAATCTACGAAAAAAAAGATTAAAAAAAATCGAATACTAACCTGAGCGGATTTGATCGGCAATTCACGGCCAGAGAGCCTCTTGAAATGCTCCTTCAACAATCTCTTCGAATCGTACTCTCTGATCTTCTTGAGTGCCATTTCACCACCTGAAATTTTTTCACCAAACCAGAAAATTTTGTACAAAATCCAAATCAAACCGGTCAAAACAATCTCATTCCGGGAAAAAATTTGAACGTAAACTAAACAAACTCGATCCACAAAGCCGCAAAACCATAAAAACACCAAAAACCAAAACCAAAACAAAGATCTAAAACAGGAAAAATCACAATTTGAAATACAAATCACCGTTTAGAGAGAGAATCAGAAGAGCTCTGAGTTGAGAAGATATAAGAAACAAAAAATATTCAAATTTTGAGCAAAAACACAGATTAAACGAAATTTGTCTTACCACGACGGCATCGCTGTAGGTAGAGACGAAGACTTTCTAATCAGACGTGTAATCTTTCGTGAGAAGATCTAAACAAAAGAAATCAAATCATGAGGACATAGAACTGGAATACGACCTGAAAGCTCTGATAAATCGGGTGGAATTACCCTTGGCTTATAGAAAACAATAGATTGATATAAGAAAAAACAAGTCATGAGTTATAATCCAAAACTCTAGCTTGATCATCAATAGCCTCAATTGATCATCCTTCTCATAAATTACCGATATCAACCAGACAAAAAAAAAATTTCACTGCAAGAATCTAAAAGCCATAAACTTTTCCATGCTCACTTTCTTTTTTGTTTCTCGTCAACCAAACAACAAATAAAATATTTTCCCCCAAATAAATTTCCAAACAACAAAATCAAATTGGCGACTCCAAAGAATTGTAAAAATCAAGAATACCATTATGACTCTCGTAACACTTTACCTCTTAAATTTTAAAATGTATCATCCGTTCTCTTAAATTTTATTCCGTTAATAAATTTTCTCATAATAAGTGACATAATTACCACGTGTCACTTATTTAGTGAGAATTAAAAATATAATTACGCTTATACCTCATAATTAGAAAATTCTCCATTTTATTGAAAAAATTCAGCATCTTCGTTACCCATTTTCCTTCTTTTTTTTTTTCCTCATTTTGTTTCCCATTTTCCTTCTTCAGATTCACTTTACCCCAAGTTTTACTCACTCCCTCTCCTTCACTTCCACATATATCTCTCTCTCTTCCCTCAAACCTAGAACCATTTTCCTGAGCAAAAAACACAGAAAGAAAATGAACATAGACGCCATTGCAGGCACAAGGAGACCTTTTTTCATTGAAGAAGACGCCGACCTGGCCTCCTTGGCCGACATGGAGGATGGCTTCCCCGGCAGCCACCACCACCACCAGAACCACGCGTTTTACTCTCGGCCTCTATATTACTCAGCCCCATTTCCTCGAGGTTTAAAGAGCACCAGCCCCATTTCCTCCAGAGAGGCATAAAGATGCTTAATGGTGATGGAGAAGGCCATCAACATTATTTGCAGGCTCTGTATCTGGGTTTGATTGTGAGCAGTTCATCGTGCAGGTTAATTTATGATAATACCCTCTTCAGATGGGTCATGTGCCTGACACGTGGTGAATTCCGTCACTCATTGTAACAAAAGGGAAGTTAACGGAACAAAGATCGGGGGGAACATATGTTACGTTTTAAAATTCGGGAGGCAAAGTGTTACAAGGGCCATAGTTCGGGGGGAATTTTTAAAATTAATCATAATCTAAAACTCTAGCTTGATCATCAATAACCTCAATTGATCATCCTTCTCATCAATTACCGATCATCAACTAGAAATTTTTTTTTTTTCACTCCAAGATCCAAAAGCCATAAACGTTTCCATGCTCACTTGCTTTTTTGTTTCTCGGCAACCAAACAACAAATAAAATATTTTTCCCCAAATAAATTTCCTGAAAACAAAATCAAATTGGCAGTTCCAAGGAATTGTAAAAATTAAGAATACCATTATGACCCTTGTAACACTTTATTACCCTTGAAATTTTAAAACGTAACATCCGTTTCCCTCAAATTTTGTTCCGTTAACAAGATTTCACTTTTTATTACAATGAGTAACGGAATTGCCACATGTCACTTATTTAGTGAGAATTGAAAACGCAATTACGCTTATACCCTCCTAATCAAATAATTCCCTATTTTATTGAAGAAATTCACCATCTTCGTTCCCTATTTTCCCTCTTTTTTTTCCCTCATTTTGTTCCCCATTTTCCTTCTTAGGATTCACTTTACCCCATGTTTAACTCACTCCCTCTCCTTCACTTCCACATCTCTCTCTCTCTTCCTTCAAACCTTGAACCGTTTTCCCAAGGAAAAAGCACATGGAAAGATAATGAACACAAACGCCATTGCAGGCACAAGGAGACCTTGTTTCATCGAAGAAGACGATGACCGGGCCTCCCTGGCCGACATGGAGGCTGGTTTCCCCACCAGCCACCACCACCACCAGAACCACGTGTTTTACTCTCGGCCTCTATATTACTTGTGGCAGAGTAGCTTCAAGAGCCTTCCGACAACGTCGTTTACTTCCTTCTTTTCTTGTTCGTCCTCATTTTTGCCCAGATTTGGCACCGAGAGGTTCTACGACGCCAGGTTTAAAGAGCACCATCCCCATTTCCTTGAGGCTTGCTTCCTCTGCAAGAAGCCTCTCACTGATAACAAGGATATTTTCATGTACAGGTTGGTTTTCTCTCCAAGTTTTGTTCTTTTTGTGTTTGATTTTGAATCTTTAGGGAGAGAGGAGTTAGAGAGAGAGTTTGTTGGAGAGGCATAAAGATGGTTAATGGTGATAGAGAAGGCCATGAACGTTATTTGTAGGCTCTGTATCTGGGTATTGTGAGCAATTCATGGTGTAGATTAATTTACGATAATACCCTCTTCAGATGGGGCATGTGCCTAACACGTGGTGAATTCCGTCACTCATTGTAACAGAAGGGAAAAACTTGTTAACGGAACAAAGTTTGGGGGAACGGATGTTATGTTTTAAAATTTGGGGGGCAAAGTGTTACAATGGTCATAGTTTGGGGGGAATTTTTAAAATTAATCCTAATCTAAAACTCTAGCTTGATCATCAATAGCCTTAATCGATCATCCTTCTCATCAATTACTGATCATCAACAAGACAAAAAAAAAAAATCACTCTAAGAATCCAAAGGCCATAAACTTTTCCATGCTCACTTGCTTTTTTGTTTCTCGGCAACCAAACAACAAATAAAATATTTTCGCCCAAATAAATTTCAAGAAAACAAAATCAAATTGGCGACTCCAAAGAAATGTAAAAATCAAGAATACCATTATGACCCTTATACCATTTTGCCCCATGAATTTTAAAGCGTAACATCCGTTCCCCCCAAATTTTGTTCCGTTAACAAGTTTTCCCTTTCTGTTACATTGAGTGACGGAATTGCCACGTGTCACTTATTTAGAGAGAATTGAAAACACAATTACGCTTATAGCCTCCTTGTGACGACTCGCACCCTAGCGGTGGGTCGCCAACCTTACACTACTACTAATGGCTGAGTTATAGTCTAATCCATTATTCATTTCTAGACTATCGTCTCTTTAAATTACGTTCATATACGGGTAATTTTTTTTTTCTTTACTTTAACCCTCGGGTTCTTAACATGTTATGTTATTATGCTAATAACATATCTTGCTATTACTTTAAGGATTTGGATATCAAATTAGTCCCCGAAAACTTTTCTTAACTTATTACAGTCCGTTGTTCTTTACTAAGACAATGGTTGTAATATCTTTTCTTAAAACTGAACATACATGCTAGTGTTCTATGTTACATTAATCTGTAGCGGAATTTGTTTTCTAAGCGTGTGCAATAGAGACCACTCTCGTGTACCCATAACATTTCCGCCACCCTTGCCTCCGCCGGTCCATCAAGCAAAACCACTATATGGCTGGCTGCTTACCTGTTTCTACTCCATTTATCCTCAAATTTTAACACAAGTGTCCTTATATGTCATATCAACTACCATTAAAACATATTTACCATATTCAGTTCATAACTCATCCTATTGGGCAACTTAGGCTCAAGTTGCTGCAAAATTTCTTATTTCCAAACCTTGGATTCAAAACTTCATAATAAATTGTACAAAACTCGTATTTGGGTCCATGATATCTCATTAGAAAGCTTATGATGTCTACTCTTTGCCCCTAAAATATGAGTTAGATTTTGTGATGACCCTTATTTTTGGTCATCATTACTACGTTCATACTTAGCTTATTTCCTAACTTCTACTACTTTTGAACTATAAACTCTAAAATTTTAGACTAAGTTTTTTTTCCTGCGCAGACATAAATTTAAATTATTATTTACACACCATTGTCATTCATATGCAGTTTGCATAATAGCATCATGAGTACATGAATATACATTGTGACTTAAGGTTGCTAAGCATAGCCTCGAAGTCACGTGATATTTACTTACTTTACATAATCCATTCATGTCCATACATATTAATTACATTAAGTGTTTAGTAGTGGTTTCAAAATCCATAGTGCCTCTGTTACCCACTTATCCTAAGCATATCCTCCAAAGTTTGGATGCTACGTTCAGATTGTCCATCAGTCTGAGGATGAAAAGCTGTGCTAAGTCGCAATTCTAAACCCATGGCTTCTTGTACACTCTT